GGAAAATAATTCGTCACTCAAAAGGGTTCAGAGACGCTTTTGAATTATATCAAGGCTGAAGAGCGAGGTTTGGGAATCTCCCGCCCAAATATGACAACAGTATTCCATTTTTCGCCTGATCTGGCTCTTGTAAAGGTTTGGTTTGGTTTGTTTTGTTTTACGGCATATCAACCTCAATGGGTTATTTCATACCGACAAAATTTTTATTGGTGGTAATATTTTTTTTTCAAACATGTATTGTTAGTAATATTTTTTCTTCAAAAAATCTATTTTTCTGATAATATTTTTAAAAATTAAATATAATATTTTTTTAAAAAATCTCTTACTAGTAAATTTTTTTTTTGCCTAAAATATATTGCTGATAATAATATATTGCTGGTAATTTTTTTTACAAAGTATTTCTGGTATTAAAAACCATTTTTACACTTTCATAGTGTTTTGACCCCATTTTGGGGGTTAACTATTTACCCATAGTTGGGGCCCTAACAGTTTCTACCACCTCGGGTCAGCCTGAACCTGGGAACACTAGCAATTAAAAGGTGGTTCCACGCTCCTCAAAACTTCCTGATCAGAGGTCTTGCTGTTGGACGTAGTTTATCATCTTACCTTGGACGCGGATGTAGTTTATCATCATACCCAGGACGGGCTCTTGTAAATGAGCGGTCAAATACTTACTGGAGCGGTACAGGGAGCCAACCATTTTACCTGCATCCTTAGCCATGGATTGTATGTTCCACTTGAGGTCGGGTGTGAGTTTGAAGCCCAACAGTCTTTCAAGGCACGGTGCTCCCCCGAGTTGACCTACGTTTATAATAATTGATGGTAAATCGGGATCAGATCGGCGATGGTGGAATATAACTATCTTCGTCTTCGACTCTTTGAATGTAACTAGTCAGTTTTTACCCTATTGGGTAGTGTGCGCAAGATCGGAAGAGAGATTAGTCCCCAACCTCTGACCATCAAGAGTTTTATCAGTGCGCCCGTAGATAGTCGTATATAGCGTCATCGGCATAGATATTTACAAATGATCTGAGTATATTCTTGGGCAGATCATTTATGTACATCAAAAAGAGGGTTGGTCCGATGATTGGCCACTGGGGGATGCCTGTGCTGACGTCTTGCACTCCGGAGGACTATCCATTGATAACTACCTTCAGGGACCTCTACCTGTGAGGAAGATCCTTCTGGTGATTCCATAACTGGAAAGCTTGTATAGTAAGTCTTTGTGCCACACATTATGGAAGGCCTTTGCGATATCTAGAGGTATGGTCCTCGGGGTGTATTTTTCATCAAGAGGTCAGCTAATAGTGTGAGTGATGGTAGTTAAGACAACGGCGATGAATCGGGCCGACCGAACCCCATACTTGCACGACGCTGAAGAGATTGTTCTTTTCTAGGTGTTCGACGACCTTATTGATTATGGCTTCAAAAAGCTTGCTGATGATACTGAGACTGACGGGTCTGTAACGGGAGGGGTAAATTTGCATGTCCTTGTTCTTGAAAACCAGGCATACACCTGACACTTTTCACAGACTTGGGAATGATTTCTCCCTCAAGCAGCGGTTGAATAATTTTGCTAGGACTGGCATAATTCTGTGTTGATGTTCTTAAGGACAGCCACTGGAATTTTGGTCTACTTTCTTTCGTTTTGTCTGCCTTTGATAAATCTAGAGACAATCTGGTAATATTACTAAGATTGTGCTCAGTGAGACGTGAGAACTTGAGATGGGGATTGTCTTTGTCATCTAACGTTGAGCTAGAGGCAAAGATGAAGGCGAAGATGTTCGCCTTATCTGTCGAGGAAGATATGAACTCGGGGCCATTTATAATTGTAAGCACAGCTGTTTTTACCTCTGTTTATGATTTGGTCGGTGGCCTTCCAAAATTCACGGAATCCAATCTTTTTTTGTCAACCTTGGTCTGGACTACTCGGGCGTAGCTGCACTTGGTGCTTTCTAGAACATTTTTTTCACCAATTGCGGGCAGTTTTGAATGTCGTGAGGGCCGAACTACATCGCTCCTTCCGATAGATATTGATGTAGGGGTTTCGGTGAGTAATGGCTGAAGCGCATTCAGGAGTGAACCAATGTTGACTGTTTGATTTTTGCTGGATATTTTGGGGTATAAAACTCTCTATTTCAGAATGGATCCAATCAGTGACAACGGCAGCAGTGTTTGAGGCAGCATGCTTGAAGAAGGTTGAGAGGGGAGCTTCCATCATATAGGATCGAAAGCCGTCCCAGTCTGCCTTCGAATAGCGAAAAATCGTTCTATGGAACGGTACATCAGAGGATACCATAGGTTTGACATAAATCTGGACACTGATTATGGAATGGTCCGACGTCCCTAGTAGAGGTAAAACTTTTGATACGCATTTATCAGGACAGGAGGTTAGGAAGAAATCAAAGAGGTTCGCCTGATGCCCCGTCGTGTCCGGGACCCGGATTATCTGAGCTAGTTCATAGACGATGGAGAAATCTCTGCAATATCTACCTTCAACATCGGTTTTGTTGGAGTGGACTAGCAGCTCTTTATGGTAAATGCTGAAGTCACCGCAAATATGAAAACTGGCCGAGGGGAATTGAGTGAAGATATTATCAATCTTCTCAGATATTCGGTCGAAGATTACCGCCCCTTCATCCTGAAGACGGTAAAGAGAAAAGACCAATGTGGTACTATGGATAAGCGAAACGTATTCGGGGGCGAATTAGGGTTGACGGTTGGGTTTTTGCTGGGATATTTTGTGGGGTATAAAACTCTCTATTTCAGAATGGATCCAATCAGAGACAAGGTCAGCAGTTTTTGACGCAGCATGCTTGAAGAAGGTTGGGAGGGGAACTTCAGGATCGAAAGCTGATTCTGTCTGTCTTCGCATAGTAAAAAAAAACGGTACACCAGGGGATGCCTTAGGTTTGGCATCAATCTGGACACTGGTTAGGTAATCATCTGACGTGCCTAGTGGAGGTAAAACTTTGGATACCCATTTATCAGGTCAAGGAGGTTCGCCTGATGACCCGTTGTGTTCGGGAACAGGGTAGGTTCTCCGATGATCTGGGTTAGCTCATAGGCGATGGAGAAGTCTCTGCAATATATGCCTTCAACATCAGTTTTGTTGGAGTGAACTAGCCACACTTTATGGTGGATGTTGAAGTCACTGTAGATATGAAAACCGGCCGAGGAGAATTGAGTGAGGATGTCATCAATCTTCTCAGATATTCGGTCGAAGATTACCGTCCCTTCATCCTGGGGACAGTAGAGAGCAGAGACGATTGTAGTACTATGTACGAGTGCCACGTGGAAACAAATATACGGGAGATGCTCGTTTTTGGTTTCGCTGCCACAGGGAAACTCGCCCTTGATGTAGGCTCCTAGTCCGTGGCCTTGACGGTTTAGGTGGTCATATTTGGCTATGGGAAGTTAGTAGCCCGGAATTGCGAATTCCCTTAGTGCTCATGGGGCGTTGATAGCGGTTTCAGAAAGGAGAAGTAGGTCTGCTTTAGATTGGAGAAGATAGTATTCCACTTCTGGAAAGTTGGAATATAGACTCGTCACATTGGTGTAGGAGATGGTATACAAAGGGTCAACTTTGGTTTTTATAGCAGTTAAGCACTCTTTTCTTTGTATTCACAGCAATCATCTATAAAACCACATCTCTTTTGTCTCAAGTCTCCTCTTCATCTGTGAGGAAATTGATCAATAATAACTACCATATAGGAGGATTGATATTACATAGCAGTTAAGCACTCTTTTCTTTGTATTCTCAGCATCCTTCTATAGAACCACATCTCCGTAACCTCAAGTCTCTTCTTCATCTGTGAGGAGATTGTCCAGCATTTACTGCCATATAGGAGGATTGATATTACATAGCAGTTAAGCACTCTTTTCTTTGTATTCTCAGCATCCTTCTATAGAACCACATCTCTGTAACCTCAAGTCTCTTCTTCATCTGTGAGGAGATTGTCCAGCATTTACTGCCATATAGGAGGATTGATATTACATAGCAGTTAATCACTCTTTTCTTTGTATTCTCAGCATCCTTCTATGGAACCACATCTCTGTAGCCTCAAGTCTCCTCTTCATCTGTGAGGAGATTGTCCAGCATTCACTGCCATATAGGAGGATTGATATTACATAGCAGTTAAGCACTCTTTTCTTTGTATTCTCAGCATCCTTCTATAGAACCACATCTCTGTAGCCTCAAGTCTCCTCTTCATCTGTGAGGAGAATGTCCAGCATTCACTGCCATATAGGAGGATTGATATTACATAGCAGTTAAGCAAATTTTTCTTTACTTAATAATAAATGTGAAAATGATAAAGTATTTGACGGTATTTAAGCCCACTTTTTCACTCCTTCCCCAAAATATTTTCTATTACACAAAGTAAACAAAATTTATATGAACAACAAACTATACGTTAATGGTCAAATTTAATTTGAATTTCCTATAACAGTTCAATAATAAATAATAATAGTTGGCCGTTGTATCCAAGTATTCGTGCCTTCTAAGGCGACTATCCCATCCTTATTTCTGACGCCTTCTCTGGCACATTTGTGTTTGTTCAACACCCACAGAGTCCACCTGTGGATTATACTGCACCAAGACATTAGTTGCAGTTTGTGGATTAGAGCGCATTATTTGGCGTGATCAACCAGTCTGAACAAAGCCAGTACGCTGAAATCCTTGGTCACGATGACTTGTGACTTCGTGCTTCCTCAACCATCGACGGGTCCCAAATAGTTCCGTTAACCCAATTTCACTTAAAAGGATTGGCTCAACCTGTGGTTTGGTTTTCAGGCACTTTTCAAAGGTTATCTACTTGATGTTATCGGCCTGGAATCATCAAATGTTACAAGAGGAAGATCTGACCCAAAATGGCGTATTGTTGTTATATCTCGATTGGAATTGTCCGAACATCACTTTCCAACTTTGTTCAAAATCGTTTTGGCGGCCTTGTGTGGGATGACTTATTTTCCTCCCTTTAGTTGCTTACAACGCCGCAATGGTAGATGAAGTGCGAGATATTTTGCGCCATCTGCGTAACAACAAGGCTCCTAGTGAAGATGGTATACCTGCTGAAGTATATAAAGCCGTTCCAGATGTATTCACCTCGTGGGTGCATCGTGTCTTCAATGCGGTCTGGCTCTCTGAGACCTACCCTGCCGATTGGATCGAGGCCATCCTACTACCTTTTTTCAAAAAGGGTGATAGGAGACTGCTCGAACTACAGAAGAATCAGCCTCATCGACGTGGTGGCCAAAGTATTTACAGTGCTTCTCCTGCGAAGATTTCAAGGCATCCGTGATCTGCGAACTCGCCCGTCTCAGGGTGGCTTCCGCCCGGGCAGAGTCTGTGTTGATCAAATCTTCAGCCTGCGGCGCAACCTCGAACAACGCTGGGCATACCAGCAACCAACAGTCCTCTGCTTCGTCGACTTTGCGGCTGCTTTCGACTTCGTTGATAGAGGCTCACTCTGGCGTATAATGGAGACCGATGGCATGCCCGCTAAACTCCTTCGTCTCATCAAGGGCTACTACCGGTCGACGCGAACCCGTGTTCATGTTTATGGTGAGGAGACGTTTGAGGTGAAGACTGGTGTGCGGCAGGAGTGTACCCTATCCTCTACCTTATTCAACTAAACAATCGACTACATCCTCGGCAGGGCTCTTTGGGACTACGCTGGAGTTGCGGTTGGTTGGAATGTCAGGGTGTCTGATCTGGCCTACGCAGACGACATTGTCTTGGTCAGATCGAACTGTGACGATGTGCAAGCTGCGCTCAACCGTGTGCAAGCTGCAGCACGGGATGTGGGTATGACCACCTATGTCTCGAAGACCAAAGTTATGCCGTCTCTGGTTGATCCAGTCAACTGGCAGCCACTGACGCTGGACGGGGTCAATCTGGAGGACGGGCAGTCTTTCGTCTATCTCGGTTCAACCATTATACCATCCGGGCAGGCTGCTGCTGAGGTTGAACACCGTATAGGGGCTGCAAGGTCCGTATTCGTGCGTCTCAAGCGGTCACTATGGGGGCGGCGGGAGATTTCCACGGCTACGAAGGGGCGCATCTATCAGGCTCTTGTTCTGACTATCCTTCTCTATGGCTGCGAAACGTGGCCACTTAGAGCGGTTGACCTACGAAGGCTTGAAGTGTTCAACAACGATTGCCCTCGCTGCATTCTACAATGCTGCCGAATCGATCGTGTGCCCACAGCCATTCTACGTCGTTGCCTGAGTCTCCGTCCTCTTCAGCGTCGTCTCCGATGGTTCGGGCACGCAGCTCGACGCCCGGAGGGAGAGCTCATCCGCGATGTACTTCTCCCTCCTACTCTTCCTGGCTGGCGAAAACGTGTCGGTGGGCAGCTGAGGACGTGGGCTAACACAATCAAGGATGACCTAGCAGTACTATCAGGTCCACAAGTAGTTGGTCTTCGACGATGGAATCGCTATTGGCTCGCCATTTCGTGTAACCTGGCTCAGGATCAGCGAGCATGGGCAGCGATGGTCCGTGATGCTGTACTTGCTCGGGAGGAAGCCGGTTCAACCCGACCAGGGCGAAAACCGATACAAGTCAAGTCAAAAAACGCCTCAAGCCCAACGCTACTCTATTGCTATTCCTACGGAAATTGTTCGGACGTGCTCCATTCTTCAGTTCCTCTTTTACAGGCATTATCAACTGAAACCCGCCATCTTACTTCCACAGGGTCGAATCGCTGTTGGAGCTTTCTCTTCCGGATTCTTGCGAAGGGATTGGCAGGAGAAGAGAAGAAGGGTACTTCCCCGTCGGGATGGATGCTGCAGATGTAGTATCTGTCCCATGCCGGGGGCCTTCTCTCCTCCCTTGCGTTTCCATCACCGTTGCGTAACATCTGTTCCGTAGCGGTGCTATGACCAGCTATGACAATCTTAGACAAGCTCTGACCAGCTTAGACAAACTAAGACCAGCTTAGACGAGCGGCCCGAGTGGAAACTCTCGGGTCCCCACATTAAAAACCGACCTTGTATCACAACCTGACAGTGAAGGGTTAAGGTAAATCTCGGGTCGAATCGCTGTCATTCTCTTCGTATTCCTCTTGATAGGAATAAAGACAATTTCTTCCTATGAACTGCTAAATTGTGGAATCGACTCCCGCGTGAATGCTTTCCAGAACACCACAATCTTAACCTTTTTGAACTCTAGGATCAATCGTTACTCTCCATATCTTCATGATAAACTTTTACGATCATACTACACACCTTACTTAGTAACACTTTACTTTGAGTGGCTCTTTGGCTTTGTACTGGGTGGACATTAGTGAAAAAACGAATATTGATAATAAATTATTTAAGGAGTTCTTGGGAACACTATGGAAACTGGGTATAACATAAATTTTTATTCATAAATAAATTCAAAACAAACATATTTGATTCACACAATACCTCATGTCATTATTCATTAATTATTATTTTATTATTTTGCATATTAATATGATCCCCTAGACATTCTGTAGCCTATAATCTTTAGTGATGAATGTAGAGCTATATTGGTTGGACCAGATGTTTGGCTGAATTGTTGGTTCCTTTACAGAAAAATCAGCTAAATCTACTTTTTTTTATTATTTTATATTTTATTATAGGTAACTCCATTGATTCGCAACACCTAAGGTTTCAAATGATTTTTTAAAATTGAAAAGTTTTTCTTGAAGCTTTTATTTTAGTTTTAATTTCAAGCTAATAGATTAAATTTAATATTTCCATTAAGTAAAATACTTTTATGTATTTCAAACCAAATTAAAATTGACTGGAAATTTTTGAAATTACTAAATCTGCTTATTTTAATGATACTATTAATCGTCTTTCATCACAGTGTAGTTCTCTTTATTGAAAAATCTTTCAAAAATAAAATGTAATTTTCTGAAATTTTATTTGAAGAATATTAGCTGATTAAAAGTCTAATTAATCTGATTGAAACAAATATTACTTTGATTTTAAAATATCACAGAAATGCATTTTTTTAAAACGGTGGTAGCTGTTTATTTAAGGCGTTGACAGATTGACTAACAGACAGAAGTTTATCTAATTTTGTTCTACTTGAGGAATATTACGTGAGCGTCTTTTTTATATAATTTTTAACTACCCAGTAATCTTAAACATTTAGGAAAATATTCTGCGTAATCTAATGTTTTATTGAATTTTAGGTATATTGGCTTTAAATTTACCATAATTACCGCTCTTATTTTCTGATAATGTCGTCATGGACGTCCGTATTTACAAAAATCAGTACGTCTATACACACAAAAATATTCAAAATTCCTTTTAAAATATTGGTGGTCAATGAATTGTACTATGCTTTTCTACTTCGATTAGTAAATATAGTTTTTACTAATAACAATATCATATAACGGGAACAAAGTAATAGAGAAATTTAAAAGATTTAAAATTTAATAAATTATTCAAATTAAAATTTAAAAAATGAAAAGAATTCTTGTAAAAATTCTTTCTTCATCGAAAAAAACAAAACAATAGTGTCCACATATATTATTGATAAAAATAATTAAAATGATGTCTTAGTTTTATTGCATTTTTTATTTTACGCTTCAGAGCAGATTTTAGGTAATTGGTGGTCCAGATATGCAAAAAGAAAATTGATGATTTAAATTCTCCAAGGACTTCTGCTTTTAACTATTATTTTAACTAATATTGCCCTAGACACACCCAAGACTGTAGAACATATACTGCCCCTATGACTACGATGTATCACAGAACTTGTGATTGTGATATATATGTAGGGAAAGAAAGAAAGAAAGAAAGAAAGAAAGAAAGAAAGACCTGTCCCATTAAATAATTTGGACAAGTTTTGTCTACTTGTTTTTAATAGGATCCTCTCGTAACTACGGACAAGTTTCTTAGTATCGTTGTTCAACCACGGTCTCCAGACTACTTCAGAACCTCCTGCATCTCTTCTGGACGGTCTCCTTGTTTAAATTGATGACTGCTGCCATAATCCTTGCCTTCAGTTCATCTTTGGTATTTTTTTTTTTTAAGTATTACGCCCCAAGCAAGCCGTGAAGCCACTAGGAAAGCAGGGAGTTGCGGAAGATTTGGAGCGAGAGCAGATAGGAGTGATAGGAGAAAGGATGAGGAGAAGGATAGTGAGTAGATCAAGGTAACTGGAGATGTCGATTGACATTACATTTGAATAGTTGGAGATTATAGCTCTCAGGGAAACAGTGATTGGGAAGGGTGTTCCACTGGTGAGAGGTGCGAGGTATGAAGCTATTGGAGTAGAAGAGACGGCTACATTTGAAAGTTTCTACGGTGTAAGGGTGGGAGCGGGATGCCAGCCTCGTAGGGCGCTTGAATTCATGGAGTCTGGGAACCAGTGAAAGCAGCTCGTCAGAGCAGTTACCATGGAAGTATTTGTAGAAAAGACAGAGAGAGGCGACGGCGCGTCTGTGAGAGAGTGACTGCAGACGAGACGCTAGATCAGGGCCAATTAGATTACATATCCGTCTCTGGATCTTACAAGGAGTTTTGTTGGTTCCTTGCTTAACTGCACCCCACACTTAATAATCAAGGGGGTTGCAGTCTGGAGTATTAGGTGACCAAATTGTCAGACAGCCATGACTGGGTTCTCCTACGTGTGTGGCATGGTTAAGAGTCCTGTTGCCTGACATAGGGTTTTCCAGCAGCAACCCTCTTGACCCAGAGCAGCACTACCTCCTCAAGGAATTTGATGTAGGCCTCCATGTTGAGTCTAAGGCCCTCACCAACACATTCAGGAGTTTTTTCTTATCAAATCGATCAGTTTTCCGAGCTGCCATACCTTCGTAATCACCATTAGACTCTATTTACATTATTCGGACTATTTTCCTCATCTTTGTCGCCATATTTATCACAACGTTTCGGCCGTTGTACGCTCCAGCCTTCTTCAGGTGGTTGGAATTTCGAACTAAACCCTTTATTTCGCTCACTGGGGTAGACTGTTCTAGTTACACGTGCCATGTTTGATGGATGTCAGTTATCAGTTATCAGTTATCTCCTGCCACTTTCCCTCTGAAAGTTCTCCACTGCCTTAACCGGGTATTGAACTCACACTCTTTGGGTCTTGTCACTGGATCTAATCAACGCCTTTATCCACTGTGCCATGTGTCTTTGAAGAAGGCCGGAGCGTACAATGGCTGAAACGTTGTGATAAATATGGCGACAAAGATGAGGAAAATAGTCCGAATAATGTAAATAATGTACATAGTACCTCATCTCAGAAATATAGACAGA